GCTATGTAGTAAAGCGTGCTGAGGTGTTAGCGTGCTTTCTTCCCTGCATCCCTGTGGGATGATTCATCTTCTTCCTTTCAGAGAATCCAGAGATGTTTTTTGATGTATGAACTCCTCCATGTTTTTAATCACCAAGAATAATCATAGAATCATGGAATAGTTTGTGTTTGAAGGGATCTTTAAAGGTTATCTAGTCGAACCCCCCTGAAATGAGAAGAGACATCTTCAACTAGATCAGGTTGCTGCTGGAGCTCTTACACATGCGGAAGAGTTATAGCACTGAACTCCAGCCTTTTATTTACAAGCTTTCCATGAAACGTGGTTGTCATGGGTTAGGCAGCTCCGGCAACCAAACCCTCCCCACCACAGTCGTTCACTCACCCTCCCCCAGCCCCAGGGATGAGGGAGAGAATTAAAGGAGAAACGGGAAACCCGTGGATTGAGATAAGAACAATATAATACAGATAAGTAATACACAGTGTAGATGCTCACCACCCCCTCGTATGCGAAGCCCGTCTCATCCCGAAGCTGCAAATCCCGGATGAACGCGAGGCCCCGAAATAGAGAGGGGCAGAGAGAGAGAGAGATAGTACTCCGAGGGTGGGAGTACTGGGAGAGAGAGGGGGAAAAAAAAAAGGCAATAGAGCAAAAGCGCAGCAAGCGCAAAAGAGCAGAAGCGGTGAAAGAGCCAAAGCGTAAAAGCCCTTCTTCCCGGCTGACCCTCGCTTTTATACTGGGCATGACGCTGCATGATATGGAATACTAATTGGCCAGTTTGGCCCTCAATCTTAAGTTCCACCACAAATCACAAGGGGAATCGTGTCCCCCTTGTCCCAACTATGCTCCCCCCTTATCCCGCTGTGCTTCTGCACTCCGGCACGCTGAGAAGTCCTTGGAGTCTCAAACATCAACTTGCTATCAGCATTCTTCTCAGAGCGAGCCTCTGAGTAAAACCAAAACACAGAGCTCTTCTAGCTGCTAAAAAGAAGAGCTAACACTGTCCCAGCTAAAACCAGGACATACCCTCACTGTAAAAAATTTCTTCCTTATAACTAGTCTGAACCTACTCTCTTTTAGTTTATTCTAACTAGCTTCTTAATGACTGTGTGAAAGCTTTTTTTCTAAAAATAAATAAAAAAAATTAAAATTTTCCACTTTTTTACCTCTGGTTATTTACTTTTTCAGTTGAAGGGCCATCTCTTCTCCCTGGTAAGGCATGTGTTTGTTTCTTTTCTCTAACACTTTTGGTTTTTTATATTCAGGAGTGCTCTCCTTAAGCCACAGGATGGAATACATATTTACAGAGGCCAAAAATAGTCTGTGAGATAGAGGGACAGCTGGTGCTGTGCTGGCATGCATCTGGAGAGATAGCAAAAGTCTCTCTGTTAACATGTTGTTGATGTCATTTAGACTCAGAGCCTGGAAGAAACAGTTTATCATCTCCCATCCCAAGCTACTTGTGCTGAGGGCAGTTCTAGTCCTGACTCTGGTTATCAGGCAGGCAAAACTCATATAGTAGTTCAAATTCCTCTTCATTTGTTGTATGAAAGTTAGTGGACCAGTCTGAAGTATTACATGTTTTACTGCTGTACCTGTAATTTTTTAAAGCCCATTTATTCTTCTGCAGCTGTTCCACTGCATACTTGGAGAAGATAGGCCTTTCAAACCAGCTTATGTGGATTGGATAGGATCTCAGGAAAGGTATTTTTCTTAAAAGAAAACAAACCAAACACCTCTCAAAAGCCCCCCAAAAAACCCAAACACCTGGTAGCCATATCTGAATAGCTGCAGATACCGAGGTCTGCACCACATATCTGCATATTACTCTCTGTAGCGACAGAGGGAAGACCAGGACGTTCAATATGAGTGATCATCAGACTTCGACTTTATTGCCAGGCGATAACACTTTTATAATCATTTTAATTAGCTCATACATATTGCAAAAGGAAAGCTCATGATTGGTTGATATATTTAAAGTTAATCTTGCCCCTGGCTCCCCATCTGTGTTTCCTTTCTTCCCCTTTTCTTGTGCCTGTCTGCCCGCATGTCTGTCCGCAAGCATCCTGTCTGTCCGCAGGCATTCTGTTGTCTTGTAATACTCAGGTCAGGGACAGGACGTTCTCGCCACATCAGCAGTTAAACTAGCTGAGAGCTTTGTTTCGCAAGATCTTGTTCAGGTAGCTGGCTTATGTCTACATGACCTCTTTGAATTAGCCATTCTCCCACAATTCCCCCGTTTTTATTTCGCACAACATAAGCTTGAGTGGTTATTTTTATAAAGAGAGCCTTAATGCAAGAGAAGGTGCAACTTACACAAAGAAGCACTATTATTATTATAACAAAGATCATTATTATTGTTTGTAAAAGGCCTTTAACCCATCCGTTTAATCCCATTCAGTTTCCTAATGCTTCTAACCCAAAAAATCCGGTGTCCTGTTTGATTTTTTGGAAGTGTTGTACGAGGTCTTAAATTTCTTTGTGAATAGATTTGGAATGATCGTTCAGGTCCATACAACACATACCATCAAAGTCTTGACATTCATGCCCATGGGCTAATAATAAGAAATCTACTGCAGCTCTGTTTTGCAGCACTGCATGCTGTACTTCGGAGAGATCTTGAGCAAGAAGTGAGAGGACTCTACTGGTAGCATTCGCTTGCTTAACCACCCAACATGTCAATTTGTTTATGTTATTATGTGCCCTGGCGGCAGCTATACCTGGGGCAAAAATTGAAGCAAATATGGTTTCCCACGCATTCCACAATTCTACTCCATCATTGCAGCTGGAAGACAAGGTTTCAGTGGTGTCTCTTTTATAGCGGTACTTGGGTGTTGCATTAGGATGCCGCAGTGGAGCCTCTAGACTAAGTTGCCCAAATGTACACGGTCCCCCTCGCGGATACGTGGGGATGCCTGACCAGGCGCGATTGCCACATATTAAAAAATACCCTTGCGGAAGGCGTCGGGGTGATGATGTGCCGAAGGCAGGATGGGTTTTGTTAAGAACTACTGTCTGGCACCAGGTGGTTTGCCATTGTGTCTCATTGCCAATAGAAGACAGAATGGTTGGTGCAGTTTTATTGTTTGAATCTACGCCTCTCCCAATGTATATACAGAAGCTAGCATTGAGCGAGTCTACCAAATCAATTTCTTGGGGTTCTGGGCCTACTGAGAGTCTCCAAACCCAATCATCATACTTTTCAAATATGCTTTTAAGATTTTGGTTGAAAGAACTGAGTTTCGTTGTATTGATTATGTTGTACTGTGTCCTTAGTTCTGACATGGAGTGGTTAAAGGGCTCAAGGCTTCCATTTAGTGGTACACCTATTAGACAAGTAGCAAAAGGGAAGAGCTTGCACAAAAACTGGTTGTATTAAGCGAGCGGGCTAAGGTAACCCAAATATTTTCCCTCGGATCAAAAATGCTGTCTTGAAGCGTATAAGCATTGCATGTTATTAGACAAATAATATATAATTGGCTTACCAACGATGTCATTTCTTTCGTTTCCACTTAAACCGTTTTGCACACTTAAACTTTGTTTGTTCCCACTCTTTTTCTTCAACCTCCCAAGAGGCGGGTACTAGGCACTCTCTGCTACACTCTTTTCGTACGAGTATCAAATTCCGAGCTTGATTACGCACTACATGGTACCAATTGTAGCAACTAACCCAGTAAGCACGGGTATCTGGTATATTGTGTCCTGTAACCAACAAAATTTTACTTGTTCCTTCTTCTCTTTCTAAACAACATTCACACCAACGTTTGGCTCTGGACAACCGAAACCACCACTTCTGTTCGCAGGTGTAGCATACGCACAGAACCCAGGGGTCACAGGTAGCGCAGACGTGACATTTGACCTGCGTTTTTGGCATCTCAGCGGGTGGGGTCGTCCACGGGGGGTCCGTCTGGACCGTCTGGCTGTTGACCTCCATGGTTTTCAGTAGCTCCTACTGCAGGCTTCATCCATCAACTCGGAACCCAGATGTTACTTGCAGCGGTGGAGATACATGCATAACCACGTCCCAGGTATATTATTTCCGCAGGACCCAACCACTGACCCATCTTTGCATCCTTATAGTAGACTCTTATATTTAATGGTTTGAGTGGCTCAACCCCAGAATAGTGTCTGACTATAGGTGGGTTGTCATTTTCCCCAAACACACATAGATGGTTAAGCACAAAGAGTGCTTTCTGTACCCGTTCCCTTACATCAACAACATCTTTAAACTTTGTCAGATATCACTTGATCGTTCCATTGGCCCTTTCCACAATTGCTTGCCCTGTAGGGGAGTGGGGGATGCTGGTAGTGTGGGTAATGTTCCACATTTGCATAAAGTCTTTCAGTGATTTGCTGCTATAGGCAGGACCATTGTCTGTTTTAACTACTTTTGGTACCCCCAACACTGCAAAGCAGCTGGTTAAGTGTCGCTTTACATCCCGCACCTTCTCTCCCGGCTGTGGAGTAGCCCAAATCATATGACTGTATGTGTCTATCGTAACGTGCAAATACTTTAGCCGGCCTAACTCAGAGACATGGGTAACATCCATCTGCCAAATCTCATTAGATTTTAAACCTTTGGGGTTGACCCCGCATCCGAGTCCCAGGCTGGAATTGTGATAACTACAGATAGGACAGGCCTTGACAATGGCGCGGGCTGCTTCTATAGATAATTTGTAAGCTCGGGCTAGGCCCTTTGCATTTTGATGAAAAATAGAATGTGCCTCTCGAGCCCGAGAATGCGGGGACAGAGGAGCTTCAATGATAGTTGTTACTAGGCGATCTGCTCTGGCGTTGCCTTCCCCGAGGCCCTCTTCCCACTGATGGCTCCATATATGTATTACGGCATAAGGAGCAGTTCTCTGTGCGATCGCCAGCTGCATGCTGACTAGCAGTTCCGTTAGGCGTCGATTCTTCGATTCTCGCAGCGTGGCATCTTCTATGCGATGAGCTATGCCAACGACATAAAGAGAGTCTGAGACGATATTCAGTGACATGTCCCTCTAACGGATAAATGCCCATACTACCGCAAAAAGCTCCAAAGTTTGTAAAGAGTCCTCTGGTTGAGTTTGTAAAATTTGATGTCTCCATTCTTGATTCTCTTTCCAAGTGATAGCAGCCGTCCGGGATCGACGACCAGCGTCAGTGAAGGCTGTGAGGGCGTTGGCAATAGGATGTTTAGACCGTTTCGGCTTAGCTATCCAACCCGCATTTTCCATCCATGAGAGGGTGGGTGATGACAGTGGTTTTGTTATTATTTCAGCGCCGTCGCAAAGTAGGGCTGTTTGAAGATCTTCAAAGTTCTGCAGGTACCACTCTAAGTCTGTCTGTTTTATGGGTATCCATATTGTCTTTGGCGGAGCGCCTTCTACTTGTAAGATACGGCGCCGGCCTTTTTTGATTAATTCCGCTAGCGTAGCTACCTTTTCTTGTATCGTACGCCTTGGCTGCAACGGAGGAACGATCCATTCTAATACCACGGTGATCCCTTCTTTCTCCCCCATTTTTATTTTTTGCTGGGTTAGGGCTGCCATTAAGTATTGGTCTCCACATAGGATGGTTAGATCAATAGGCAGGTCTTCAAAGCGTCGATGGGTAGAACGGGTGGTAATTAGAGTTGCTATCTGTTGCAGGATTAGGTTTTGTTGTGCAGTGAGCTGAACAGGTGCTGTAGGGTCAGTTCTTTTTAACAGCGGGCGTAGTTGGTTTAGCAACTCGTTAGGAATACCAACCACTGGTCTTAGCCATTGCAGGTCGCCCAATAATCGTTGGGCATTATTAAGCGTTCGAATGTCCATGTGTATTGACAGTTTTTGCGGTTGAATCATAGTATCAGTGATTTGCCAGTCTAAGTACTTCCACAGGCTGCTTTCTTGCACTTTTTCTGGAGCTATTATTAAGCCCATCTTCCCGAGTTGTTCGGTCAGCTCTTGTTTCTGTTGGGGTAGAAAAGGAGTTGACTGAGCTAACAATATGTCGTCCATATAGTGATAGATCAACGTTCGAAGCCATGATTTCCGCAAAGGCTGGAGAGCTGCATTCACGTAGAGCTGGCAAAGAGTGGGTGAGTTATGCATTCCCTGAGGAAGGACTGTCCATTCAAAGCGTTGATCTGGTCCTTCGCGATTAATTGCTGGTAAAGTGAAGGCAAATCTCTGTCTGTCGTCCTCATGAAGGGCGATGGTGAAAAAGCAGTCCTTTAAGTCTACGATGAGCAGATGCCATTTTTCAGGTATCATTGCAGGATTAGGTAAACCTGGTTGCAGTGCTCCCATGTCATACATGCATCTGTTTGTTAACTGCTCGTAAGTCATGGAGCAACCGATACTTTCCAGACTTCTTTTTTATAACAAATATAGGGGTGTTCCAAGGACTTGTCGACAGCCGAAGGTGTCCTTGATCAAATTGTTCCTGCACTAATTTGTGGGCTTGCTCTAGACTTTCCCTTTTCAGTGGCCATTGTTCTATCCACACTGGTTCTTCTGTTTTCCATCGGAGTGGGATCGGGAAAGTCCAAACAATGGCCACTCCTAAATATCCGAGGTAAGGATCATTCCCATTTGCGCTAAAATGTCCCAGCCCACTAGTGCGTGAACCCCCTCTGGGAGGGGTATAATTGAGACGCAGCAGGTGATGATTTTGTCTCCTATGTCTCATTGTAGGAGGGGTGACTTACGAGCGAGAGTCAAGCCTCCAACACCTGTCACTGTGGCATCGGAGGCATAGGGGGGGCCT